AGGTTTGTTCATTAACACTGTAGAGAAAAGACAAAGTTAATTGAATCTCTTCTTTACTAGGAAAGTAGATTTTGATACTAGACACTTTAAAATAAATAATTGAGTGCTTCTGCTGCAGTTATGATTACCTGAGTGATGATGACGATCAACACAGTGTTGACAGCAGCACAAGCGACGACAGCGTTCCGGACCACCCCTACATCCCCCTGGTCCCCGACGAGGAGAGCTTGAGCACAAAGTGTCGCAAGATGGAGCAGAGGTTCAAGATCGTCAATGCTCAAAAGGTAGACAACCATATTTGGGTGTTTGACAATGCACAGGATAGTATTGCTTGAATAAATAGTGTTTCCACTTTTGGGATATAGGGTTATATACATTATCCCAAATGTTTCCATGAATTCAAATCCAGAAAAAACTGTAATTTAATCAAGATAACAGTCTGTTTCATCTGGTCGTTTGTAATGGCGGCTTTCCCCTTTACCCATGCATTAGTCCTGTGGTAATCTGTCAGAAATTAACCTTTTATCGCCAATTTGGTGGTTTTAACGTTGTTTTATTTAAGTAGGTGTAGCAAGTAGAGTTACATAAGTTAAGTATGTTGTAAGGTACCTTATGTGCGTTAAAATAAATCAACACTCCGTCTCCTTGGTGAAAGTCATTTTGTTATTTGACCCATTCATCAACCCTAACCTCCTCACTACATGGACTTCACACTTCCTCATACTATTTCCTTCTTTTCCTTTGTAAAAAATTGCATCACAAAATAATTTCTGTAATTCGCTCAGCATCTCTGTTGGACAGTTTCTAATTTGAGTATCCGAGAATGAAGATATGTCCTGTCACTCAGGGTTACCTGGAGGAGCTTGTACGCCTGCGTGAGTCCCAGCTGAAGAACACAGAAACGGAGAACAAGAGGCTAAAGGCCCACCTGGAGGAGCTGGAGAGCCACTGCACGCAGGAGAAGAAGGAACTGGAAGCCATCGTCCTGGAGCTTCAGGAGCAGCTGTGAGTGATGTCGACTTACTGCATGTTACCCTCATATTCCTCACTTTAAACCATAGAACAATTATGCATTTTCATTTGTTTAGGTGAAGGTTTTGACGTGTCTGTATCACAGATTTCAATGCTTTTTAGTAATGTATGTGTTGTATGCAAATTGTTGCCAGGACCAGCTTAATTCCCTGTGACTCCAACCACCTGGCCAAAAACCTTACAATCCCTCTGGTCAACCAGTGGCCGGCGATCCAGATTTACAACAACCAAGACGACGTCAAGCTGTTCCGCCGGTTTGTATTTGTTTAGACAAGGACGTGTCAGTTAATAATAGCCAATATAACGCCCTATAGCCCAGTTTGATATTTTCAAATTGCTCGTTTTTTGGGGGATGAGTGGTGCAAGACATGACAAAAAAAGATGACTTCCTTACATTGGAAGCTAAAACCAAAAAATGTAAGTTGCCTATAGATAGATTTAGCATTCCAGCTCAAATACTGCCCAAAAGTATTAAGGTGGTATATTACAGGGTTCATATCCACAAATACTGTATATTTGCATATAAGAATTACCCCTTGAAATGTAATGCATGCCATTTTCTTGTACTACAATCAATAAAGAGACTCCATTTTATTATATTTACAGTATTGTTAACTCCTTAGTTTGTCCTTTTGTTGTCCTGCAGGAGGAGTTTCCCCAGCACAGAGCTGCTGTCAGTGGAGATCAGCCTGGACTCAGACTCCCAGAGGACTGAAGGGAAACAGAATGGAGGAGCCTGGTGCACAGGTGACATTTTACACAGCCACACACACTGTGTTTTAGTGAGATAATAACTAACTCACACAAAACAGTTGAGTTGACCCTCCCTTCGCATGTGTGTCGCACCCTTACAGAAAAGGACTACACCCCCTCCATGATGGGCCTGTGTGGGTCCCTGTCCTCCCTCCGCAGCTGCAAGTCTCTGGCTAGCCTCAAGTCCAGTGAGTGCCTGGTCCACATCAGCAAAGAGAACAGTCCTGCCCTCTCTCCCAGCTAGGGGGCGCCAAATAAACACTGCCGACCTGTTAACTGAGACAATTCAACATGAAAACACAAAAGACTACTTCTGGGAGGTGGACAAATGCTCTTTTTTGTGGCCCTGACGTGAGTTCCTTCATGCTCTAGGTCTCAAGTTACACCTTTAAAGCATTTGTGAAAGAGTAGCCTCCCTATTTGTGACAAAGACGCAGGAAAAGCTGCTGTACTGCCCGACGGCCTCCTGCAGCTTCACTGTCTCTAATAGTCTTGACACGATTAAGCCTCCTGGAATGCAAACCACTGGTCCAGGATGACCTCTGTTACGTCATGATGTGTGTAATTACAGTCACGTCTCTACTGGTAACATTGAACAAAACATCGCTGTAGGATTGTCCTGTGTGTACTTGTCCATTTGTCTGTGTCTTATCCTTCTTCTGTCAGTGTATCTTATTCCGCCTCTTGCATAATACTGGCGGTGCTGGGTGGATGAGCTGGTATAACCTTAAAGGGAACAGAAACAATGTTTTGCCATATTATATCAGACTATTTTAAAAGAGAGGCTTATACTGTTAACATGGACAGAGGGTTTTATGATGAAGATTATTTAGAAATGAAAAGAAGCAGCTCTATGATATTAGGATGGTTTACAGTTTAGGCCTTATTCAATCATATAGTATGTTAGACACAGATTTTAGGATGTGACAGTAAAGACTTGAGAGGCTACAAAGGTTTGCAGAGCCATTACAATGTGAACTGACAATATCTATTGCATATGAATGCAAAGTGCATTGCAACTATGCAGAATGAATGTTTTCATTGTCTTTTTCTAAAAACCTGGCAGTAGTTTGAGCAGGAGAGAAATAGTGAATGTGCAACGTGCGTGTGTCATTTGATTTATTTTGTATTGGTTATTTTTATATTTTTAATTAATGTTATTGCTTTTTATCATTTAGTGACATACACATTGCAATCTCATGCAATGTTGTGAGATTTGGGATGCATTGTGTTATTTAAACTGCAATAAAACTCCCTTTTTTGAAACATTAAACAGTAGAATGTGTATTTTGTTTAGTTTTTTGCTAGTTTAGTGTATGTTCAAAAACAAGCATGAAATAACATTATCATCAGTATCAGCTGTAGTTAGTGGTGAGTAGAAAAGGTTATGCTAACATGCTAAAGATGGAAAGCTCTGTGAAGATTATTCCTACAAAACATTAGCATGTTAGCATTGGTGTTGTGAGCATGTTAGCATGATGATGTTAGCATGTAGCTCAAAGCACTGTGTTTCTCAAACAACCTCATAGCTCTGTTAGCATTTCTGCAGACTCTTAATCTTGTTCATATAGATACCCTTCAGGAATTGCCTCCACATTTACATTTAAGTGAATCTTTTTGCTGCATTTAAGAATAGTTGCCAATACACTCAGAAACCACAGTTTCAATGTATTACATGATCAGACCTTTATATATACAGTCTATGGATCAGACACAATAACACCACACTGGTAAGATATTAGTTGATTTATTTAATTTTCTGTAAATAAGTTGCTGAAATCTCATCAGTTGCATTTACTGTAGGTTAAATAAACCCACACACGGTCTTTCACATTGTGCAGAGGTCAATCTTTGTTTTCATGTCTCCCCTTTTAGCTCAACTTTGTGAAGCATGACATCACTTTCCTCAGATGGGTTTGAAATAGCTTATGTGAGGTCAGAGGTTAGGATCATTCATTCATTAACACAGACAAATACACAGAGCTAAACAAACAACAGCTGAAGGTCCTTTGGTAAACCCTGGAAATGTATTGAGACACATTCCTGATTGACATACTGTCCAATTAACTGCCTGGCTGTAAAATAAATGGATATCGGAGGGTGGGGAAAAGTTTGGTTTAGTTATCTGGTTTTGTCTTTTGCTGTTTTGTCAAAGTGACATCAATTGTTGGGTGCAGTTGCACGAGATAGATGAGCAGGCCGCTGGACACATTCAGCACTTCACCCTTCTGTGATAAAGCACATTTACTCCCATTGTGGTTTGCCATGGACACAAGTGTGTTATCTAAGCGTGGACCGAGGTCTCGTTTAACTAAGTGCACGCTGAGGACAGTTTAGTTTAGGTCAGGGGACATCGGTAGAGTTAGCACTGGTCCAGGATCTGCCTTGAAAGTAGAGGCCATGTTATCTTTACCACCTGCTCTTGTCCCCCCATTGGCACTCCCTTTACACAGTGTCCGGACACTTATCTCCCAAAATGCACACTGTCTCATACATGCAAATGCTACACCCAAACCACTTCTACCCAGATGGTGCACAAATGCCCTGCTAGGGTGATTTAATACGCCTCAACTAAGTATGATGAAATATTTGGCCAATAAATGAATGAAGGTGATATTAAATCAATATCTGTGGTTTTGTAGCCCATATTGGGGCCTATAAACTACAGATCCCATACTTTACATCACAACTAATAGTGTTTAAAACATTGTATCACTGGACTGTTGCCTAAAAGTAATTAGTATTAGTAATAAGTAGTAAGCAAACATTAAAACTGTAGTATATACAAATCTTAGACTGTATGAAATGCGTTTGAAAATGGCCCAGACTCCAGACAACTCTGAAGGCGACATGATTTTTATTTAAAAAAAACAAAAAAACAAAATAAAAACAACCTTGCAAACAAACGATGGCCCTTTAAATACGTCGTCGAATCACACTAGGCTTCAACCATTGACGAAGTTCTAAGAAGTAATCCATCTGTAATCCAACATACTAAATACGTTTAAAGTTGTTTTTTTAACACGTATTTAAAGGCGAAAATCGGTTAATATGAGATATGAATTGGGGGCGGTGACAGAAAGTAACATTGTCCGATGTTTGACGGATTGATGGGGGATTGTCCAATAGAATTGAAGCCGAGGGCTCCATCAACCAATGAAAAGTAAGATTCCGAGTCGGGCCCCGCCCCTCATATAATTAAATCCACACCAGCGTGGTGGTGGAGGTGTTTTGGAGTAAAGACAAGAACGCGGAGGGGAAAACTACTGTGGCCACCTCGCAACTTTTCGGGCCACAAAAACCCTCTACAGCCCGAAAAACCATAATGAAATATACTTCCAGGTTTGGTCAGGAGACGTAGAGGTTGACCCTAAAGTTACTTTTTGAAACTGGAGCTGCTTCCTTGTTCGACAACGGGGTGAAATATCTCAACATCCTCACAAAGAAACTTTGCTTGCTAGGCTGCTAACTCGCACACAAGCCAGAAAAAAAGCATGATCACCGCCGAGGATCACTTTATCTCAGGCTGTTAGTAACATCTCATCTGTCGAGTTAAGTGCAGCTGGTGGATGTGTCAACCTGGAAATTATATTTAAATGACTTAAGGCCGACTTTTGTAACGGTTTTCTAGTTCTGGTCATCATCACCAGTGGAGGAAGGGTTGCAGCTGGTGATTTAGCCACCAGTGTTTCCACAGAGCGCCCCCAATCTCCACCTGATATCCACTGCTTTTTTCAGCCACATAGTCCCAGATTTGTTTCTGGAAAGATGTTTGGTCCATGTGGAGTGGGACAGATCCGGGGGGTTACTCTGGGTCCACAGCCCCTCAAGGCTACTATTCCCTATCAGCTGTCCAGCAAGCCGAGATCACACCGGAGAGATGGAAAGACAGGTATGAGCTCCACACCTGTCGCACTGTGTGGATTAAAAACTGATCCTGTGTCGATTAGTATACTCTTAATGTGACTTTAAAAAAATGCCTACATTGTGTAATGCAGCTTAATAAACACTTGGCTTTACACAAGCTAAAATAACTTCTAATTAGTTATCATTTGACATACATGATCGAGTAAAGACCCTGTGATTGAGGAACCCTGTGAACTAGTAATAATCAATTATTTCAACACGGAAGTTTTCAACTACTTATTCATTGTTGTATTGTATTGATTTATATGCAAGTCAAACAGTGAGTATTAAGAAACTAAGATACAACCCTGTGGTTATGATCTGCCATGAGTTCTTGTTTTTGTTCATTTATCTGGTAGATGCCTTGTTGTAAACATTGAATTCTCATAGTTTGAAATACAAAACAGAAGTTCCCTGATAGTCATATCTTTTTTTCACAACAGCTGGAAAGCCCAAATCGCACCAGCTGAGCTCTGGCATGAGGCGGACGATGTCTCTGGACGCCATCATCGGGCCGTACCTACAGGGACACTGGCCCAAAGAACCAGAGGGACCGAGCAGCCCGTCTCGCAAGGACAAGTCCACCCAGGTCTGCTCCTGCTGAAGAAAGTGCTGAAATGAGTGGAATGCATGACTTTACCACAGCTGTTTCCACAGTAATAGTTTTGTTTTGAAGGTCGTTAACAACTTTTTAGGGGGTTGAATCATGTTAAACGTTAGGTTGCAGATTTTAGAGGAGAAACCAGTTGCTAGGAGATAGAAAGAAGGAGGGTCCAGTGCTTGCGTAGCTAAACCACAGCCATGAGAACTGTCCCTGAAGTCAGCTGATGAGGCCGTTTTGGCTGCACCCATCCTCTGTGCTGCTCTGTGTGCAGGCGCTCGCCACGGCTGTTCTGTTGCCCACATCCTCCCCCACCCCCCCTTTTGTTTTTCAGTTTCTCCATGCTCTTTTGCTTTTTGACAAGTGTGAATAAAGTCTGTGGGTGTGGATGATGTGATGTGGCTGCAGATCAGCCTTTGAGCATGAAGTGTGCAACTTTTGTCAAAAGATGTGTGAAGTCCTGAAATGTTGTGTGACTTAATAGTTATGATTTCCAGTCTGTGTGATTTTGTTATATGATCAGCAGCTTAGGCTAAAACTATGATGTATATAAGCTGATTTTTCAGACACATGTGATCTTATTTGTTATTATTTATAGTTGCCTTTTTCACTCCCTAGACCCCAGACTCATGGTCTGATAAATCCCAGAGCAGAAGAAGCAGCAGCAGCCACAAACGATCGGCATCGTGGGGCAGCGCTGAGCATCTGCGAGAGGTGAATCTCGACTTTACTGCATTACTCAACGTATGTTTGAATCAACCAGCTGAATGTCGAAGAGAGCAAGCTCCGGGGGGGAAAAAGGCCTGACTCAATTACTTTGACAACATTGAGCAACAGGAGACCAAATGATCTCATCTGCAAAGAGACTTCCCTTTTTTTGAGCTTCACTCATCATATATTTGATCTGAGCCACCACATAATCAGATTATAGCTGCTAACATGCTTCTGAAGGGGACCCTTGTTATGAAACATGTGACATTTGTAATTGAGTGTTTGTGTGTGTGTGCAAGCTGATTGACTGACAATAACCTGTGTTCGTTGCAGATCTCTAAACTAAAACAACAGCTGCAGCAGCGCAGCAAACCTGCCGTCTCTGGTGGGCACGACAAAGACCGCCAGTGTGGATACCCTCAGGGGAGCTGTAGCTTAGGAACTACTCGGGTACCTTAGCATCATCCCCACACACAAACACACCGCACCAATTACTCTGTGCTTGCGGGTACTCACAGATATTCCTTCATCAGTGCAGCCTAGCATCACTGGTTTACCTTCATCAACGTGAACTTGATGTGCAGTTCATCGCAGGAAGTGAATTCAATAAAACACTGAAGCAACAGGAAGACTACTAAATCACACTGCTTCTGCTTTCAGAATGAAATGTGTAGTTCTGCTTTTCAGCACAGCTGGTCTGCTCAGTTCTGTAGCGCCTCAGTCCACCGGGCCGAGGCGGTTTCACACCAAACTGTGGTGACGTTACAAACCAATGAGAACAGCTAGAAGCCTCATTAATACCTTAAGTGTTAAAAGAGTTTTTTAAAAGGACCTGCACCCCGTTATGTCCCTTAACACATGTTGCTTTCATATTTAACTTAAGATTAATTGGCTTTTCTGAAACAATGATTTGCATAGTCGATTAACCGGCCGATTATTTTCTAGATTAGTCAGGAATAGTTTCAAATAAATTCCTTCCTAGTTCCTCAGTCCATAATGATGGTTAATGGGTTGATTTTATATATTGCTTTCACACATACACAAAATATGTAATGTCTTTTTTAATAACTTGTTTGGTCAGTCCAAGACATTTATTCAAATATGATGTAAAGAGGACATTTCAATATTTGGGAGTGTGAAAATAGCGTCTTTAATCTTTGCAGGAAACAATCCTTAAACCATTAATCAAATATCTTATTGGAATATTTTTTCTGTCTAATCGCCAGGTGGAGTTATCGCTGCCTCGATTGCGGCATAAGAGTTTTTCAGAATTTGTAACGATGATAAACTCTATTTATGCAACATCTTTGTGTTGCTCAAAGTGCCTAACAATTAGAGCAAACATGTGACACTGACTTGTTAACTGTATAAAAACACACGAGGTGTTCGATCCGTCAAAGCCCTCAAAAGTGATGAAGCCATTTGCTTTGTTTGTGTCCTCAGACTCAGCCCATCCCCATCCCCCTGGCCCCCCTGTGTACTCTGGTCCCCCGGCTGCGCTGCAGTGTGGAGGGACTCAACCAGGAGCTGGAGGGCATGTTCATCTGCCAGCCAGCACACCCTCAGCACAGGGTAACTGCCCCCCTACCCTCCCTCAGCACACAAGATTCCTGCAAGATAGCATGTAATATAATGGAGGCTGACGTTATTTACATTGCTCATATTCTCAGCTCCTGGAGGTTCCAGACGGCCACCGGGCTCCGGTTCCTCCGCAGAGCTGCAGCAGTGGATCTCAGAGTGACCCCGCCACTACACCCTTGTCCTCCTCACCCAGTTCCTCTCCCACAAACTTCTACAATTCCCCACCGGACCCTGAAGATGCACCTCTGGATGTGCAACAAGGTTAGACAGGGTTACCAGAAAGGGAAAGTCACTGCTGTGACACTTGCACTTCTCTCAAAACATGGCCTAGATTTGGCAAACCACTCGGACAGAACCTAAAATGAGAGAACCACTGTGCAGTCTCACAGGCATCAGCTAAACCTGTTCCCCCAGCAGACACTTGAATAGTAAAGTCTGTGCACACTTCATTGTAGCCTCTTTCTAGATTGACACCATGGAATACATTTAAAAAAACAAGACATTTTAACCCTGTTGGTGGGGCAAAGCATTTAACCGCTTTTAACACAGTTCATGTTGATGGTTCAGACCGTTTTACTATAAGGATTCAACCTGCATTTATCTTGTGAAACACTGACTGCAGCTACACCTCCTTACAAACCAACGGGTTGTTTTGGTGGTTTAGTCAGTGAACGATCTGAAACTACTTTGTCTGCATACGTACACTATTGTATTAGAGTTGAACCATTTAAGTAGTACATGGTTGAATTTGAAAAAGGTTGACTAATCAATTTTGTTTAATAATTAACTGAAGTGATGGAGTTATGTCTAAGCCACAGATTTACTTGTATAGCCCAGAACATGTTTTTCGGATTGTCTGCCCCATTAAATCCCAGGAACAAACTGTCTATGAAAGTTTAACGAATCATTGATATATTGTCGTTTTTTGTCTGCTGTCTTCAGGTCTGACAGACGGAGCAGAGATGTGCCTCCTGTCTCCGTTTTCCTCCCAGAACGAGGCCGACCTCTCGTCCTCCCCGGGGCCCAACAAGAGCTGCTGCTTCCAGAGGGAGCCGCCAGAGGGCTGCGAGAGGGTCAAAGTCTGGGAGGAAAGCAGGTATGTGTGATCCCCATCTCCACAAAATGGAGACATGGCGCCTACATTACCCACAATGCAAGTTGAAAGCCAACCGTTGGAGATTTGGGTGTGTTCTGTTAGTGGGCGGCATTGAGCTACAGAGGTCTCTGCTCCAGAGCCCCGGTTGTTTCTGTTTTCAATTCAAACTTGTATTCTTCACTCACACTCGAGGCAATTCATCACAGCTCCCTCTGGAGCCACAAACACGTTATACAAGCTCTCTACATGGCCTTTCAACAGACTTTGTTGCTTAAAATGGGCACATTTTCCCTTTAGAGACTAGTTAATTTCCTATTTTAGATGTTTTCCTTAACCTCTACCCAGAGAGGTAGCTAATAAAGGGCTTTTTTTGCAATAAACTATTTAATTAATTCCAAATATTAAACATAAATTCAAACTGCGTGGAAGCTTTCTGGTGTTTATACATTAGCCTTTTTTTTTTTTTTTTAACGTGACCACACGTATATTTAGAACTATAACCAGTATGGTTAACCAAAGGCATGATAAGGGAACAATGTTTTCAAACTAAAACAACAACTGTACCATTAATGACAAAAATACTTCCAGTTTTTAAGTCTTGTTCTTACTCAACCTGTATATTGCGATGTGAAATTAGCTGCAGTGTAAAAATTCCGCTCAAGCCAAAGTCCTGCATTTATATCCAAAATATGTACACTTGAAGTACTTATTATGCAGAATAGCCCATTTCAGAATGTTCTATGCTACAATTATCATTGCAATAATGTTTACTGCCCTAATGTTGCATCTTGTAATGATGGAGCTCATGTTTATATACTCAGGGTGTCCGCTGGGTCTTAAAAAGTATTAAAAGGCATTTTCTAAGGTATTACATTTTGTAGCTTGTTTTCAATAAGTATATGAATGGTCCAAAGAGGTTGTATTCTACAGTCTGCCTGAATGTAATCATTGCGTAGGTGTGTAGTGTGATTCTGTGTAGTTTATTTATGGCATCCCGTTGGGTTTGACGTCATCTGAACAGGACATCGCGCGCTCACTGCTTGATAGCACGAAGCTCCGTTTACGCCGGTTGTCAAACAACATCGTTATGGGGAAATGCAAGTTTGCGTCCAAATGGTTGGAAGATAAGGAGGAAGGACAATCAATACTGTATATAGTAAATGTGAGGTAAAGTGTTTCGCCAATGTAACCAGTTAGAACTCAAAGTGGCGATGAGGTCTTCAAATGTATGGAAAGGGTCTTAAAAAAGGCCTTAAAAGGTCTTACATTTGACTTCAGGATTCCTGCATATACCCTGTCACTTTATATACAACTGGGAAGATGAACCTATTTTTCCTACACATCAGAATTGATTTATTCATTCATTTATGATTTATTTAATCTGCAAAGCTGTCAGATAAAATGCTACCGTTCTCGCTGCTGTTATAAATATGTGTCTTTCTCTTTTGTGAGTCTGTAACTTGTAATGTATTGAAGTCTTTGGTAAAAACCCTTAAATCATGAGGAGAGACTACTTTTTTAGTTAATTTGTAAGGGACCAGAATACTAACCATATCATTGATGGTTAAAATAACTGTTGTCTAACCAAATAAAGGTGTTATTTTTTGGGTGGTGGCGTCTTAGTCCGTAGGGACTTGGCTACATAATGGCTGCTCCTAACACTAGGAGAGGACTAGTGTTGTCAGGATACCAACATTTTGGTTTCGATATCAAGTCAAGAATTGCGATTCCGATTATTTTTCGATACTTTTCTTAAAAAAGGGGAAACGGTCTTAAATGTAATTATTGTGCTTTATTTCACACAAGAACCATAACACAAACTTTTAAAAAATGAGAACAATAAATAAAATAAATGACAAGAATTCGTATTAAATTAAAACATTTCTTACTGACAGGCCTCGTGGTGTCCGTAGGCTTGCCCTCACTGTCAGAGATATAGCTCAAATACTTCCAAATTTAGCTTCTGGCGTCTTTTTTGCCAACAAGCTGAGGGGCAGCGGCAGTTGCACTCCCACTTGCAGCCATGCTTCTCCTGTTCTCACATGCTCTGGCAGCTAGCGCGTGCACGAGAGAGGGGAGGCACTTGGAGCGTGCTTGAGAGGGGAGGGACTGCAGGTGCGGAGCAGAGCGCTGAACACACACGGCTCTTATTAAAGCGGCGCTTTCTCACCGGAGTACTTTCCCCCGTCATTCTTAAAGTACCGATACTAATGAAACGGAGGAATCGTAACGTTTTTAGCGGCAGGGTATCGCGGTACCTTTCAAGTATCGGTACACCGTGCAACACTGGAGAGGACGCCCCCTATTTGCCCACCCTGGACTAACCGATGTCCTTGGTGACCAACACAGGGGGGCAAAGTGACTCTCATAAACCTGTAGTGAAGGAACACCGCCCTCTCTGCGGATCCTGTCGGGAGAAACAAACGCAATGCGGGGTCAGGGGCTCAGTCTGTCCTAACTAGACTTGTCCTGAGAACCTTGGGGTCTCCGGTTCTCGTCTATATGTACACTGGCACCTCTTAAAATGCATGTGTGCACCTATACACCTGTCCATTTGTACTGTGAGTGAAGCCTACATATTCCTCCGGGTTATCAATAAAGGTTTATCTTCTTATCTTCATTTTCCTAAAGCCCCTCTCCTCTTGTCTTGTAGCTCTCCACGCCAACCCATGCCCGCCCTCCTCTCCTCCTGCCCGGACCCCAACAAGGTGAACTTCACCCCCTATGGGGGCTCCGCCTTCTGCCCCGTCAGCCTCCTGAGGCCGCTGCTCCCCTCCATGGACATGTTGTTCCGCAGCCTGGCCGTCTCCCCTGCAGGCTCCTGCTCCAGCCAGGGGATGGGTCAGGCTCTCCCAGACCCCCCCAGCACCTCCCCCGCTGTGGTGGGAGAGAGCTCTGGGGAGGGTCTCGCCTTCTGAGCAGCTGCAGATCTTTTTCTGCGGAAATTATAATGCGTAATGCAAATATTTGCTTTATTTTAGGAAAGGACCATTCCATATCTATACAGGTTTAAAATAATCTTATATTGAGAAAAAAATTATAATATTGAAAAAAATATATTCTATGCAATCCAATGGATTTGCTTTATGAGCGACTTGTTCTTTTTGGTGTCCGGGCATTATGATATTTCTAAATTAAGGCATTTCTGTCACTTCAAAGATATATTTTTGGCCAAACACACAAGTGTGAGAGACAGGGCAGACCTCTGTTGGATGACTGGCCCCCTAACTTCACATGATTTTATGTTTCCCCAAAGAAAGCCATGACACAAATTTATATTATTATACTGGTTTTTAAACTGCAGTGCGTCATCTCTCCAGTCGAGTCAGAAACACCCTGTGCGGATCAGTTTGCTTGTTTTTAAGTATTCAAAGATATTTATCTAGAATTCTTCTTACCTAACGTTACGTTGCACCTGTTGCTGGTGTACAAAGCACGACAAATCAGTTGGGTACTTTTTTTATTTTCCTAAAAAGAAAAGAAAAATGTAGATTATTGTAGACTGAAGGGAATTTTCCAGTTGTTGGACTTTGGTAGATTCAATACCTAAATGCTTCAGCTCATGCATTCCTGCTTTAAAAGATGTTTATTTTTGTTGTCATATTGTTTACGTGCAGAGAACAGCACAAGTTAATGGATGAAAAACCCTGTTATTCCTTGATGTTATAGATGTGTGCTGTTTATAGATATAAGGTTTCGCAGCCTAGTTGACTACCTAACCAGTTTTAGTGGTGTAGATTTGTCATCTGTAATTCTCTGAAGACGTTCTTCTTCTGCCAATCTGACAAGTTGATGTTCAAATAGTTTTATTTCTGGTAGACATGTTTGCACAAATTGAAATGCTACTTTTGAGTCGCAATTCTTATTTTTATATTCACTTTTGTACTTTAAGAGTAGTAATGTGTAATTTCTACATCCTTTTCCAATTACCTGCAGCATAAGCTAAAAAAAAACCTCTTACGTTTTGTTCTGTCAGTATAATTGAGGCAGGTGTTACATGGTATACTGTATCGGGTGGATTTTTATGCATTTCAGCAGAGGGTTTTTATGTGGAGACGTTTGTTCCATACCTTAATCCTGACCGGAGTTTTGTATGTGTGTGTGTGTGTGTGTGTGCACGTGGATTGAAAGTTAATAGTCGGATTGTTTGACTTCTAGTTTTAGTGTCCAGGTGAAATGCTGTTGGATTGAAACATTGTATGTTCCAAATAAGCCTCAATTTCAATGTTTTATGAAGCGGTGTCGATGCTGGGGACGTTCTGTTATCTCAGGTTCTGTGTTCTGTCCACATAAATATATAATTGATAACGTGTTGTCTTTGCGATTTATTTAACTGGTCTGAAGTCCTAACTCTTAATGCTGTGGTTCACCATGTCTGCAGGGAGGTGTTGCAGCTGCAGTCTGAACTAGCTTTGATTTGGGTCTACTGTAAACTACACATTTATCATTTAAATTAATGTCCTGTAGGGTCAATTTTAAAATACTGAAAGATCAGCTAGATGTTAAAGGTTTATAAAAAGAAAACTGAATTATTTTAGTCCCTCAAAATGTATATTTTAAAGTTTACAATTGTTTAAAGAAAATAGCTAAACTTAAGTGGTGGGAATTCGTAACTAAGTACTTTTACTGTACTGTGTAACTAAGTACTGTACTTGGGTACAATTTTGAGATACTTGTGCTTGAGTATTTCCATTGTATGCTACTTTGTAGCCCTACTTCGACTTCTATTACAATTCAGTGGTAAATGGTGTACTTTTACTCCTACATTTATTTAATACTTTTAATTACTTTGCAGATTTGGATTAATTATGTGACATAATCAACACTTTAGTTTTATAAGACTTAAGTTACACCTGCAGCAAAATTCAGCTGCACCTCACCAGCCTTCATAACACTATTGCATCAATGATTAAAATAACAACATATCATTATTCTGAAATGGGCCTACTTTGCTTTTGGTACTTCAAGTATATTTTGATGCTAATACTTTTGTACTTTTACTTGAGTTACTAAATGCAGGACTTTTACTTGTACAGAGTATTCCTACACTCTGGTACTTCTACATTTACTCAAGTACAATATCTCCCACCTCTGGCAAACCTCCTACTGATGAAGATCGTATGCTATGATTGAAAGTTACAAAAAAAGCAACACAATTGTGTGGTGACGGTGGCAAAACTCTATCTTAAAATGTAAGGAATCAGAATGTGTGAGGTAGGTTTATACTCTTGTAATGAAGAAATTGGTCCCGTACAGCATGTCAAAAATGCAGACGATGAGAGATTATGTTTTTTTCTTTTTTCCTGTTTCTGGTGTGTAGGTTAAAGTTATATAAGGACAGGGGAGTTTTCTTTAAGAGCTGCAGTTGCTGTACCACACTTGATCCACATTGCGGAAGGGTACACATTATACAGCTGTTAGCGGTGCATTGTGGGACTGTCTGACTGGAGGAGCTGCTCTGCTGTAGCGCGCGTTTCTCTTCATATATATTCACTTCAGACTGCCAGAGGATTCACCGGCATGTTGGGGATCATCGCCAAACAGCTCAAGAGCCACCCTGCTGTGAGTCCTAAACATGTTTATTTTATTATTATTTATTTATGTATTACATGAGTTCGATAACGCAAGATCGAGCCGGTGACATTGAACGAAGTGTTGAGGACGAGATGATCGCGCATGCTTCCCAATAACCGCACCTCATTAAGCCAACATTTTTATTTTTAAGTTATTGATATATTACCTGAGTTATACAACATTTGGGGTTTTATCATACATTACCCGGCAAATGATGATCTATGACTGCATGAATGTAAAATCTATCGTGGCAGATTTCAGGAGGAAATGGACGATAAAGGCAATACAACGCCAATAAAATAACTTTGTAATTGATATTTTCCCGCGATCATGATTTTTATTTGTATTAATAATATTGATCTTAATTTCTCAATCTCATCACAACATTCCGTTTATTGGGATATCCTCCTTTTAAAGGCGTTGTACATGTTTAGAGCTGGAAATCCCCATTAAAACAGGAGCTATCGTTTTAATTGTTGTTAAAAGTATCAAATCTATTTTCCCTATATGGTATATCGGTGTGGGTCGATGTACACATGTGCACAGGCATGTACAGTATGCAGTTCTGTACAGCACGTACACAGTGCAGTGTGACCCCCTGGCCTGATGCCAGTGCAATGCATGTCTGATTATCCAAGGGCATCCGGTTCGCTTTACGGCAGAGTCCATATTAATAATCCACAGGGTGCCACCGTGTTTGTCCTTTAAACAGTGTCAGATTTCCACTTCACTGTGTAAATGCTCTTTTATTGTCACTGAGGAGGCAAGGATGGGAGGGGATTATACATAGGCCTATATAGAAAGTGAAATCGTATGTAAGTGGTTAGTGACATGCAATGCAAACAACCAGCCTATGAGATTATTCTTTACTGTATTTATAAACTGTACTCTCACTTTTTATCTTTCCTTATGAAACCGAATACGAGTAGATGATTAACAGAATATCGTTATTTCTTGTGAGTTATAAATAGTATGTGTGTGATTACATTTTCTTGTCCTTGCCCCACAGCTCATCCCCCTCTTCATCTTCATCGGTGGCGGGGCGGCCATGAGCATTACGTACCTGAGTCGGCTGGCTCTGAGAAACCCTGATGTCTCGTAAGTCTCTATCACGTCTAATAAATGACACAACTACAGACATAGTGTTTTCTTAAGGATTTAGTTAGCTCTTTTATGTGTGTGTTTTCAATCAAATCTCTGATGTCATGTTAAAGAGTTTTTATACTGTTTTGTTCTCAGATGGGATCGCAAGAACAACCCCGAGCCCTGGAACAACATGAAGCCTGATCAGCAGTACAAAGTATACACCTTTATTTACATTTTGCATAAATTACTAAGGGCTGTTTGGTTAGATTTAATCCATAGTCCATATCGTTTCATGTTATCTTGCCTCCAAGTCCATATTCCCGCCCTCACACATTTGTTTTTTATTTGCAGCTCTTCGCAGTTAACATGGACTACTCCAAGCTGAAGAAGGAAGGGCCTGATTTCTAAATCTTCACTTCCCTGTCTGACACTATCGGCAGTGTTAAAAGCTGTTGCACTTTTTGCCAAATCCAAAAACAAACTCATGACACAGAACGAAGGTTGAATCATTTGCACTCATTCAATCATTTTCAGTGTGAAGGGGGAAAGGGATCATACTCTTATCAATTACTATATGAATAAAACAGGGAACCACCTGTTATACTAATTGATGAATTTATTTTTGATGTTGTGTTGATAATTAAAACTATTTAAATCTCTCTTGCATGTGTATTTCTTTTAAGTACACAGCTGCTTTGACAATAGGCACACTATAGTTACATCCTCAGGGTTTCACAAGGAGATGATTATATTTGTATTACTAATTCAGGGGAAATCCAGTCATTTCCTGACATGTATTGCGGTTTTTTAGTCTGCTGAGAATCTATGATGGACAGCAGTGGTTGAAAACTGCAGCTGCTTTGATTTCATGAGGTTACTGTCGTCCATGTCAGTGAAACTACAGCAAGTCAGATGTGGAGACCACCACTGAGTCTGTTTTTGATTAACCCTCAGTTTATTTTTTCTTGTTTGCTACATTAGGACATTTTTACATTTCCCACTCAGATGTATCTTTTTCTACAAATAGCATTGAAGTCATTTTGTTTTCCAAATGTTAAAGGTAGGGTAGGTAATTCACTTCAGAAACACTTTTTTCTATATTCCATGGAATGCTCTTAACATCCCGATAGCAATGAACAAATTAAATGCTTTGACAATAAATATATACAAATATTTCATCTGTGGAAGCCGTGGCGCTGGAAAAAGCAAGTCCAGTTATCTGCCCCGGCCCGCGGCAGATAACTGGATGGCCTACCTGCCTGTCAGCCTTCCATCTTGTGCCCTAAGGAAGTCTGAAGGAAGGGCAGATTTTTTTCGGTTGTGTACTTTCAAATTCTAGCTTACTCGAGCTGGTTTCTCCATTCTTACCTACCCTACCTTTAACACTCCGATATGACCTGTTAACTGTGGACATACTGACAAAGACCAAAACATAAGCAGAACCAGACATGCACATTTCTTGTTCACCAATAATCAAATATTAATTACTCTAATTTAAGCAATTCACTCTCCTTAAAGTTACTAACATTTAAGCTTCTAAAAACACAGTGCCACAGTTTTGGCTTTTTTAATCATTTCCAGTAAGAGCTGATCATCTTCCTGTTTCTATCACCATTAGCTGTTGTTTATTTTTCCAGCCAGCAGAGTGTGCTGTTACAGTAACACATTGAAATATAGTCTTTTTTAGTATTCATTTTATTTAGCAGCAGGAATATAAACAGAACAAGACAAGAAAGTAACATACTAAGATTGAGGACAGAATTAATTGACCCAATGTTTGGAATGATGCTACACCACCATATTGTCGAAATCCACTTTATTGTCAATCTCCTGTGTGTGTGATACAGACAGGGAGATCAAAATGCTGTTGCTTACAATCCCGAATAAAATGTTAAATATATAACAAATATATGTAGCTATATATACATACATATACACCTGTACACCCACATTTATGTATTTATCCAAAAAAATCTACAAGAGATCTTATTAAAAAAAACTATGTTTTTCTCACAACTTTTTCAAATGTTCCCCTTTTCCTATAAAAGTATTTACATTAGTAATAATGTTTTTTTTGTTTTTAAAAATGTAGTTTTCTTATTTATCCACTAGTCAGTGGTAATGCAACGTCTTTATGGCAACCTTGTATGCACGAACGATTCACCAGTTGTAAGTGTGACCAAAAGGCTGAGAGCAAAGTGAAGCAAGCCGAAAATGGACATAGTGGGTCTGTTGTTAATGGAGACAGCAGTTTAGAGGCCCTTGTTCTTCCATCAAAGTCCTCCACTGCTAGTGAAACAGTGCAGACAGACAATGCTGCTGATGAGGGACCATCCTCTGGAGACTTTTGCCCCATGTGTCAGATGCCTTTTTCCATTTTGGTGGTACAGACTCAAAGATGAAATGTTGCTGAATGTCTTGACACCTCCAGAGACACATGCAAAGGTACAGATATCCATATATCATATACTTTATCAAATAAAAAACATGACCACCAGCAGCTTCCTCATCAGAAACCATTGATCAAATAACTACGTCCATATCTATTCTTACTTGACACACCTTTCCTCCTGCATTCAGGTGAACACATGTTGTCAATTGTAGGCGGGGAAAACAAATATATATTATTCAACACACCTGTTTTTAAATGTAACTATTGCAGGGAATAACCTCAAAACAACTGATAACTGGCAGCCTGGTGCAGTTACATGACTTATTTGAATGCTTACAATGGCAGTAGGTCTGGCAGGCAGGTCACAGCCACATAAACACATGATAAACTGTGGAGGAACAAAGAAGCTGGGCTGGTATGAGGGCAGCAGGATCTAATAAGCAGGTGTGTGATGCAGGTCAGGTGGAGGGCAAGAAGGGAAAGGCAGATGAATGAATTAGAAACAGGTGTGTAGATGGAAATGGGCAATTAAGGGTCTGTGGTATGAAGTACAGCTGAGGAGTAGAGACAAAGGAACAAACTGGTGACAACTCAGGAGATAGTTTATTGAGTTTAGATTCACCTAACGAAATGATGTACATTGACAATAAATATTGCACCATATCCATTGAAATTCCCCTACACTTTGGCATATGTGATGTATCTTTGTGTCTCTTTCAGCCACTTTATTTACTGGACATGAGTAAAGTTTCGATTTTGAGAACATTATTTAGTTTCAGATACATCCTGCCTGGTTAATGCACACATTTTGTTCACCCCTAGTTTGTAAAATAGGGCTTTTGTTCAACATGTCAAGTCTCAAGCCCAATTTAAGAAAACCTGGACTACATAGTTTTTTTTAGAAAGCTCCCTTGAGACACAGCTGGATTTATGTGATGAGTAAACTGATATATAAAATCAGACACTTTTTGAGTATAAGTATTGTCAAAATGTTTTATCAGAATTTGCATGTGCTGTTGCTTTTGAATGACCATTTAGTACTCTGTTGATAAGTCTGTCTTCATTGTTTTCTTTTCACACAGAATGTCCAGATGGCTTCCAGTGCTGCTCCACCATTCCTAACCATTATAAGAAATGTAACCACACCGTCCTGGCCCAATGTCGAGCAAACAGCGACACAGCCCTCCTCAGTCTGTCCCAACAGGCAGGGACCAGCAGGGGGACGGGCCTCAGCTGTCTTCCAGGGCTGATAAACAATGAGGAGGATGGCTCTACTTTAGAGACTTTCCAGGATAGTGTTCTCAGTGTTTCTGTGTTATCCACTCACAGTAATCTCCCTGGAACACCTCCATCCAAACGTATGAATGGACTCATGTTGCTGCGCTCACCTGGCCCAGAGGATTGAAAGAAAAAGAAAGGCTGGTCGTCCTCTACTAAAACCAAAAAGTCAATCAGTTCTTTCTTTGGAAAAGGGGTAGAAATGTAAATTAGATTGTAGGTAAGATTCAGGAAGCCATTACAGAAATTGAAAGATGGTCTCTCTGACATGGGGGTTTAGATTGTCGGTAGAAAAAACTGAAACTTTATTTTTACGAGAAAAAGGATAGGTGAGGAGGTAGGTTAAAACTTTATGGACAAGAACTAAAGAAAGTGAAGACTTTTAAGTTTCTGGGAATATGGCTGGACGAGAGAGTCACATGGAGTATTCATATTGATAAAGTAGTAGATAAATGTAAAAATGTGTTAAATGTTATGAGGTGCTTGGCAGGCACTAAAGTCGGGGGCTGATAAAGCTGCTTTGAGGAACGTACAGAGCCTTAATTAGATCAGTCATAGAATATGGACTATAGTGTATGGTTCAGCTGCATACTCTTCTCTGCAAAAATTAGATAGAGTCCAGGCACAAGCACTAAGGATATGCTGTGGGGCAGTCAGATCTACACCAGTGTTGGCACTTCAGGTAGAGGTCGGAGAAATACCAATTTATTTGAAGAGAAAACAGTTAATTGTTAATTACTGGGCAAATTACTGGGCAACTGGGCCATGAAGATACTCACCCTATAGGCTACTAAACAAACTGTAAAAACAAGTTGGGAAAGTAACACAATTAAAAAAGAAAGTTTTTGTGTTTGTGTTTCTGAATTATGTAAGGAATTAAAAGTTAAAGAATGGAATATTAGTCCGACTGTTGATATCAGCGGTTCCACCATGGTTATACCTCAACCTGTAATAGATTTATCCTTATTGAAACGGTTACATTCGAAGAAAAATAAAATGAACGTGCAGGCTTACATGAACACTTCTATGAACAATATGGGCAGTTTATACACATATTTACTGATGGATCCAAAAGTCCAGAACATGGTAAAACTAGGCTAGTTGTGCATTTTATGTTCCTGAGTTAAAGGTCAAAGTGAAAAAGCGAGCAAGTGATCACATCGCAGTGTAGGCTACATAGTGGAGATGATGGCTATCTCACTAGCACTTCAGTGGATAGAGGAAGTAGGCTACAGCCAATGCGAGTGGTCATTTGCTCTGACTCCAGCGCAGCTTTGGAGAGTATAAATAACTTATCGTCATTCTGTCGTCAGGATATTCTGCATGAAATTGTGCACATCATGTATAGGTTGGGAATTGTAGTTCAATTTGTGTGGATTCCAGCGCATGTGGGTATTAGAGATAACGAGGTGGTGGATCAACTGGCAAAAAATGGATTGAAAGCAAATACAATTGATTTAATAGTAGGCCTACCTATCAGTAGAGCAGAAGTCAAATCATTTACGAAAGTTATTATCAAGCAACAATGGCAAAAGTTATGGGACAGTAACACTAAAGGGAAACATTTATACCAGATTCAAATGGAAGTAGGAATGGAAAGCACTTAGGGGAGTAATAGAAGAGAACAGAACATTATCAGCAGGATAAAATTGGGTCACTCTGGATTAAACTCATCACTCCATCTGATTGGAAAACATCCAACTGGCAACTGTGATGGTTGCCAACAATCAGAGACAATACATCATGTATTCTTTAGCTGCGCGGAATATACCAGACAAAGACTCATTCTGAAAACTGCAATGGAACAACATAACATTAAGGACATGGATTTCAAGTCAATATTCGCAAGTAACTCAATAAATGAAGTTAACAAACTCATCTTCAAGTTTCTCAAAAACACTGGTCTGAAGCTTTATATATCTGAAGACAAAGATTTAACATGAAGATTCAATAAATCAACAGTAGGTGGCGATAATGCTCCAAGTGGTTGCGACTCGCCATTAAAGCAAAGAAGAAGAAGATGAACTACGTTTTAGATGTAAAAGAAGAAGAAACTCGTCATCTCGCGATATTTCACTTACAAATAACGCGGGACAGTTTGAGGAGAAAATCAGTTGAAACCACAACCATCGCTGTAAGAAACAACATTAGACAGTCAACACATGTTTAATTAGACAAGCTGTGTGTTAATTGAGGCGGTATTGAGCTCAACGCCGTTTGTTAGACTGGTTTTATTTATATAGAGCCGCAGCTTAACAAGGTTTATGTTACTAGTGTTTACCGTGAACAACGTTCGTTAGCTAAACTGAGCTAACCAGCTGACCGTCTGGGAGTAAAACAAAAATAACCGGCTCTGTTTCTAAATGGATCCGATTGAGGACCTTTCTGCCCGGGTCCTGCTGACCCAAATTCTCAGCACCGAGACACCAAGGACCCCCTTCACCCGCAGGTACTTCACCTTAACCCTAACTAAATTTGTCTTGAAATAACTAGCGACGTCTGTTGTTATTATTGTTACAAGCTTTGAACGCTCGCTCTGATAAATGCTAACGTTATTCCTCATAACTAGAAAAGATAAGGTGGTTTTCGTAACACCAGCATGTTAAAACAAGGAAGCCTCAATTATTTAATACCCTGTATGGAAATAATTATAATAACCACAATAGTATCCGATCTATCCAAAGATGCACATGGTTTCCTCAGATCAGCTTGGATTTACTATTTTGTTATCAAAATTGTGTTTGTTTTCAATTCAAACCTGATTTATTTTTATTTTACTGGGAATCATTTACATTATATACAAAGTCTTGTTTTACCTACCCAAGATCTTCCCCCTTTCCGGTTTTTGAAACATATATATAAACTATTTAACACCCAAGTATGCTTTTTCTACAATGTCATTCAAATCACCTTCATGATTTCAAGTGTTTATTGTAAAAATAATGTTTCTTTTTTTAATCATACTTAAATTAAGGATTTTAAAACTATAATAATATTGATCTGTCTTGTCTTAAGTGCCTCTCAACAACTGAGTGCCAGCGCGACCAGGAGGAGCAGCAGTCGACTGAGAAACAAAGATGCTGTTCCCCAAACCCCAAAGGCCATCCTAAAGCACAGCCAGATACACAAACTACGAAAGGTGAGGAAGGCCGGCAGAGCTTGTGCTGATCATGGACATGCTGTGGATTTTCTTAAGGTTGACTTACTTCTTTCCAGAGTATATCCATGCAATCCCTGAATGCCACGAGAAGGGTCGGTCGCTCAGTCTCATTCAGATTGAGTAACATCCCTCCAGTAAACTCAATGCTGTTGGAGGATGGAGAGACACCGAGGCACCTACTCAAGAACATCCTGCAGACAGGTATGTGCATGGCATGGTTTTATTCACACCTAATGTTGCAGCTGATTGTGCCCCTTTTTTTTTAATCGTCTTTCATGTGATTCAGAGCCTGTGAGTACGCCTATGGTTCATGGGAGGGCCTCGTCAGATGGGCGACAGTCATCTTCAGCCGACTCGAGTAAGGGTTGCAGGTGAGTTGTGTGTGTGTGTGTAAGGGAAATTGCACTTTGCTGACATTTGGGATGACCAGGATGATTATTTCAAATGTTTAACTTTTTCAGTCCAAAGCTGATAAAAAACATCCACCCTGATCTTCTCTCTCTTCAGCAACATTGACAGTTTGTATGCTACCGGCTGACATTTGTTGTGTTGTGTGTAACAGGTTAATATTTGCTTCACTTTCAGTATTGAGCTGTCAGGGTTGGATTTGCCTGATTTAACTATTGGTGCAGCGAGTACCCAAAAAAGACTGAACCGGAAGAGACATCTGATCTTTGATTTGTCGGCTTTTGAAAAACGTCTTGACGCCGGGCCAGGTAAGGTTCAAGCAACACCTGAGTAGTGGTGTAAAGTAAGATCCTAAGGGTGTTGTTGAATTGACAGACTTCCAATAGGGTTGGATTGAACTAAGTATACTCCTGCTACAAGAATTAGATGATGATGTAGAAACATATGAACTATGAGAACACTTGTGTATTTTATTAATGTCTGGGTTTTATGATGAATGCTTGTGCTTACAGATCTGAAGGAAAATAAAGAAACGGAACAATCATCTCTTACTTTGTCAAGGTCAATTAAATAACAAACTTCAAAGTTGTGGCGTTTTTTTATGCATATAAAAAGTTACATTGCTTTTTAAAATGTTAATGAGTGAATATATAACTAAGCGGTCTCTCCATTCTGTTTTGCAGTCCCACTCTAAAAACCCCCTTTGTGGAAGTTCGGACTGAGAGAACAGGCCTGCGGAGAAGAGCTTTACCACGCCGTAGAATCTCAGTAGCAGGATTTGACGCTGCTGTAGATAGATGGTCGATGGAAGGTGATTACAATGAAAAAAACACTCTTTGTAACTACTCAAAAATGTACCTTTTTTAGATCAATTTGCTAATATACGTTAAAAAAAACAAGTTAATTTAAAGGTAGGGTAGGTAAGAATGGAGAAACCAGCTCGAGCGCGCTAGAATTAGAAACTACGCAGCCGGAAAAAATCTGCCCCTTCCTTCAGACTTCCTTACAGAGCCCCTCCTCCAACACACACGAACGCGCACATGACCAATGAGGGCACGAGATAAGTTTGTGCACAGATGGAAGGCTGACAGGCAGGTAGGCCATCCAGTTACTTTAGCCGGGCCGGCTAAAATGATTGTTCGTGCTTTTTACAGTACTACGGCTTCCACGGATTCATTTTTGTATGTATGTTTTGTCAAAGCACTTAAGATATTCATTGCTAACGGGACGTTAAGAGCATTCCATGGAATATAACAAAAAGTGTTTCTGAAGTGAATTACCTACCCCACCTTTAATGTTAATGAATTAAATTGCTGACCATTTAGGCTTTAAAATGTCAATAACAATAAAAGAACCCACTAGTTTTACCCAGAGTATATTTTTATTCTAATATGTCTCAAAATGTGTCATACATTTTTTTATATATATAATTTTACAGACAAATTAAATGGACTAATGTTTGAACAGAACACAATTCACATCTAAATTTGGCTCTCAAGAATATTTCGACCAGGTATACAGTATGTACATTTAGAGCTAAAGCCCAGTTACAGGAGGAAGGGAGCCGATAGCTGTTTTACGAAGGGAGGCTCAACTAGTGGCGTATCAATAACAATATTGTAGGTTATTTGCAAGTACTGTCGCTAGGGATGCTGCTGATACTTCATTTGTCGTTTTCCCTCTCTTCTTGTTACCCAGGAGAGACGAGCCGGTGGAGTCTCAGTAAGACCACCTCCTCTGAGGGCTTCACTCTTGGCCTCAGCACACTCTGTGACTCTAACATCACATCCGACATCATCCACTGTGACAAGGCGCTCTGTGCCCAGCCCGGTGCCATGACCGACAACTTATCAATAGCCGCAACTCGGGACAAACCGACGGTGAGGGTGGAGGAGGATCAGATGGAGGTGGAGGAGGATCAGATGGAGGTGGAGGAGGATCAGATGGAGGTGGAGGTGGAGGAGGATCAGATGGAGGTGGAGGAGGATCAGATGGAGGTGGAGCAGGATCAGGTGGAGGTGGAGCTGGGGAAAGAGAAGTCAGTGAATGCATTCCCAACTGAGGGGGGGGCCGAACCTCAAAATGGAAGTTTGACTGCATCTATATCTCAAAGGGAGGAAGAGAAGCACACAGGTGATGATCAAATGAAAGATAATGTAACTGTGGCCGAGGAAGAGGCAGGTGTAGCTGAATCCCTGGATACTGTTATGGAGGAAGAGGAGAACAATGTAGAAGCTCCAACAGAGGAGGAAGGTGAAGCTGATTCTCAAAATGAGGAGAATGCTGCAGTCAGGTCTCCATCTGAGGAAGAGGAGGCTGCAGCAGAGTCTCAAACTGAAGAAGAACAAGATGGAGTTGATTCCCAGGTTGAAGAGGATGTTGTACCAGACACTCAAACTGAAGAGGAAGAAGTTGCAGGTCACTCTCAAACTGAAGAACAAGATGGAGTTGATTGCGAGCCTGAAGAGGTTGCAGAGGCCGTGTCTCAGTCTGAGGAAGAGGAGGTTGCACCAGACTCTCAAGAAGCTGCAGTTGATATTGAACCTGAAGAGGATGCAGCAAAGTCTCAGTCTGAGGAAGAGGATGTTGCACCAGACTCTCAAGAAGCTGCAGTTGATATTGAACCTGAAGAGGATGCAGCAAAGTCTCGGTCTGAGGAAGAGGAGGAGACTGCAGATGATCAAAGTGAACAAGAGGTTCCTGCAGAGGAAGTGGAGGACGATTTGGCTGATTCTCAACCTGAAGACAAGCATGATGGGAAGCTGTCGGAGGATGATGCCGAGCAGTCGTCGGAACAGGAAGAGCAAGACCTGGAGCACACCAGCAGAAGGGCTCCTCGCTCTGAGGGCCCCCTCGTCGTGCCCGTCACTGAGGCAGCGGGAGACTTGGACCACGCCACAGAGGAAGGTGAGGACGTCCACATATTGAATCTCTTTTGACATGCTTTCTACATGAGAAGCAGCAAGTCAGCGCATTTAAAACATACTCAAGCAAACCCATCCTGCAAAAGCTGACTGAGCTGCATCCAAACCCCAATAGATTCCTCTTATTATGATTTTTTTATTTCTTTATATCTAATGAATTATTAATACATTTTTCAAATTGTCACATTACTTATCTTTGTCCTTTTTATGTTTAAAAATCATTAATATATTTTTGCTTTTTTATTTTAAGTATGTCTAAATGGTCAAACATGTGTTGGGACAAATTGGGGAAATAAAAGGGGGAAAAGTTTAAATGAAATACAGCCGTTTTCCTCTCAGGGCTGCATGTCAGAGTATTTTAAAGTTCAATGTTTAACAGCTCTGTTTGCATTCAGGATGGTCTGATGGTAAGTCTAAAGCACCAAGCAGCCTGCACATGGGAAGCCCTGAAACACACGCTTCCTACACGGACGCCGACCCTGGCGCTGTTAAAGAAAACTCCTTTCATCTTCCGGAGCTGGCGAATGAGACCAAAGACAGGCTCCTGAATGACAACTCACCTGAAGAAGCTGCTGAGGAAGAGGAGGATGAAGAGGAGGAAGAGGAGGAAGAGGAGGAGGACAGTGATGGTTAGTCTTTGTTAGCGTTTCATTTATTGAAAGTCAATTGTGAATAGAGGTAAAATGTGTTTTTTTTGTTTTCCAAAATCTTCAGCGATCCCAAGCAAGACCCCAGCTTTTGTCAGACAGAAAATGAGCTTTTTTCAGCCCAAACCTCAGAATATTCAAGCAAGGTAAGTTGCATTTTATGATACAATCTAATTTTTTTAAATAAAAACTGGGCTTTTACATCATAGCATATAGAAAGTCAGTTGTATAGTTTAAACTGACTTAAATTGATTGTATGTTTATCATCTACTATGTTACTGACTTTATATTTATGTATTATGTCAGCAGTAGGACAGGGGAAGCTATTCCTGTTCCTAAACCAAAGCCAGTGAGAAAGAAGGGGAAAGGGCCGGCTAAAAAGCAGACTGACCTTCCTAAGAGCTACCTGATGAACGTGTTCAAACACTTCGCCAAAACAAAAGTCTCTCCAGATGTGTACCCTGTCCTAAAAGATATGTAAGTAATATAACGTTGCCTTTAATTCAATAATATGTAATGTGTTTAGGACACCATGGATTTCTACCATTTACAGTACACACTAGCTTCATTTTATTTCCTGTTTTTACCAGAATGAATAAATACTTCGACCGACTGGCGGAGGACTTGGAGACATATGCTCTTCATGCAAAGAGAAAAACCATAGAGATTGAAGATGCTGAACTTCTGTTGAGAAGGTAAGTGTGATTTGTGCTTATCTGTGCAAGGAAAACACTAATGACTTGGGGATCAGTCGTTTTGAAAGATAAAAACAAATATATTTGTGTTATGGTCACCAGCAGTGAATGTTTGCCATGTCATGAAGAAGATTCAACTTTATTGTCATTAAATAGTACAGGTATTGGTAACGAAACAGTTCCTCTGCATTTGACCCATCCTAGTGTTAGGAGCAGTGGGCTGCCATTTTGAACGGCGCCCGGGGAGCAGTGTAGGGAACGGTGCCTTGCTCAGGGACACCTCGGTAGCACTTGGTCTTGCCGGGACTTGAACTGGTGATCTTCCAGTTGCCAAGCCAAGTCCCTATGGACTTTTTTTTGCCTATTTGTTGGCAATTTAAGCACAAATTAAACTCATTATACCCTAATGGTGTGTTTTTGGCAAACATGAACAGTTATTTAACCCTTGGTTTTTGCAAAAAGCTTTAATAAAAGAGTTACATTAGTAACACAGACCAGAGACATCAGTCCACAAAAGGGTCAATCATCAAATGAAATGCCTTTTCAGATAACAATAATTCATGATGGCCGACAGTCGAAACCAAAACAAAATGGTGACAAGTACACAGCAAAAAGTAATTAATACAATGCTTTCAGAATGATTTTGGACAACTATTATGTAGAAATTAATATTGTAGCAAAAAAAAAAACACTGGGTAATACCGACCTCTAGATGGCAGACTCGGACTCCACGTTTAGTCTGAAGTAGCAGACACGAGACGGTGCGGTGGCCCCACAAATATAATCAAATTCTGTGGGAAACACTGAACAGTACACCTAAACAATTTCTGACACTTTAGTCATTTTACTTACCATTTTTTTGTTTTTCAGGCAGGGACATGTGACTGACATGGTCCCAGTGGAAGTGCTGATTGAAAAATATCTTCGTATGGAACAGCGCAAACTCCTCATCCCCATAGCAACCAGCGGAAATATTGTTATTCCTAAAAAGCGGTGATGAATGTGTTCTATACTTCTAGATTTTATTTTGTACTTTTACATTTTACTTCACTGCCTTTGATTTGGACAATTGAGGTCTCCGTGAAATGTTGAAATGTTAATCAGAGTATTAAAATGTCTGTAAATGTGTAAATATGTGTTAACAAGAATTTTTGTTATGTGTACTTTTTTCTTTGGAAGCATTGGCTTGTTGAAAAAAGTTCATTTTCTGTCTTTGTTGACCCTTGTGAATAAATAAATTCAGTGAATCACACGTTTTATCTGTATGAAAACCAGTAATGATGCATGTGGAGCCCATGTGAGGTGTTGTGATGGCATTTAAAATTGTGCATTTACAGAATCATCAGGCTTTGGATAAAAGGGTTTGTAGTTTGGCTTGTTTGGGAATATATTGGAAAAGAAAGGCACCATTTTCTTTTCAGAGGGATTTCTTATCCCTGGCAGGTCATACTGTCCTGTGCGTTTTCTAGATTGGGAAATTAATTACAACTAACCCGTATCACGATCGGGGGAACTGGTGCAACTAATTATTTCAAAGCTCGAGGTTGCCTACCAGCTAGATAAATAATAAAACCTCACCCACTTGACACAAGGTTGAAGATGTATTAACGACCTTCAGTGTGAATATATCTAGAGTGATTCCATCTACATCATAATTGAATGAAATCTTTATTAGTCTTCACTTGTTAATCTTGGTGTGCTGGGTGTTTGAATGAACATAACATAGCTATAACTAAGTTTTGTTTTATCTCTTACAATCAGGCAAAGAAGAGAAGAAATAAGGAGAGAAACCCCCACACACACTTTAGAATCAGTAATACTTTATTTGTCCCCACAGGCAGCATGGAAATGTACAGTGCTGGTGAAAGGCAACATTAAAACTATTAAATAAAGATGCAAAAACACATATAGGCCTACCATGGTAAAACAATAAGGAAGATAATTAATAAAGAAATGAACAAGCCAACTAATAATAACTAGTAAACATAAATATAATGTTTTGTGTTTATTGGTCACAAAGGCAGTCTTTCTTTGGGTATGTATAATATAAGATTTGTGTGTTGATTTTTACATACATACATTACATACTGTAATTTCTCCTTTCATTCGTGGACTGTTAATTTACTCCGAGACAGCAGGGGTCGCTCTTTGTGAGACTTCATGTCTGCCAGTTAGCATGCTAGCAATCAACAACAGAATATCCCGGACAACTAGCGTCTTAATTTAACCCAACACAAAGGTAAGCCTTTCCCTAAATAAAACAACAAGCACTGACATGTGGATTTAAGACTTAAAAAGAAAGAATTAAAGCTCTTATGTCGTATTTTTAATTGCAGTTATTTCGACAATTTCCCCGACCGTTTTGTTTGGCTTAGGTTAGCTGCATGCTAACTAGCTTGATCAGTTAGCTCTCGTGCTATCGTCAGAGTGTCTGGATTACTCACAGTATTTTTTTATTTTGAAATGTACCATAACTTTTCATCACTGTATAGGATTTATTTTTCAGTATGAGCACACTGGTGTTCAAACCAAGCGTTAGTCAAGAAAACAATTTAGAGTATGCTACCTTTTCGATAATCTGTATTGTTAGCAGGTTAACTACCTGCTACTGTCACCGCCTACTGTAACTGCGAACTGAGTCTCCAGCATCGTCTGCTACAACTTTAACTCTTAATCAAACACAATGAAGATGGCTTTGTTTAAATGTTATGTATAGTTGTTAATATACATATTTTTTTTAATTTATGACATATATTTGGTTAATAGATAAATGCCAGGAACAAGACAATTTGCGTCCTAAGCCTTTTATCATTCTTTTTTAGAGCTACTTCTGTGGATAATTTAAAGTAGTATGTTGAGTTTTAGAAGTGCTTTGGTTGGTATGATCTGTTTTCTCAATCTGCTCAGAAACAGTCATTCATAGTTGTCATTTACATTTTTGGAAGAATTACTCATATATTGTAACTCGTCTCTGTTGCAAGTAAAAGTTTTGCATTCAAAATGTTACTCAAGTAAAAGTACAAAAGTGTTGGCATCAAAATATACTGAAAATACCAAAAATAAAAGTACTCATTATACAAGATTTCCCTCTGAATTGTAGTGGGGTAGATGTACAAAGTAGTAAAACAAATGGAAATACAATACTTGAGTAAATCTACTTTGTTACTTTACAACACTGACTGTAATTGATGGGTTTTAAGTAGTATGTTTTGTTCTTATTTTGTTCTGGTCTGTTTTGTCAATCTGCTCAGAAACTGCCATTGATAATTGTCATTTACAATTGTTTGAAGTAAAAAAGTTAGGTGTGACAAGGGTCTGAAATTGAGCATTTCTTTTTTGCTCTCAATTGTATTGCCAGCCTATGTGGAATGATTTATTATAGTATTTAGTAACCACTATCTCTTTAGTACCAGAACGTTTAAATGTGTTTTATAATATGACCTGACATACTTACCACCTGGCGCTAATTTAATTCCCTAGGTGTGACTGAATATTGTCTCACTAATGACTTGTACACAATAGTATGAATGACTCAACACCACAGCAATGATATCACTTCTGTTGTTGGCACTGAAAGCAGATGTTCTCTGACGCTGCTGGTGAACACACCAGACAGTTTATTCAACTTTACACCAAATGTTTCTCTATTGTTCTGGTGGCGTTACCTTTATATTGTGTAGTGATGCATTTGAACACAAGTGTACAGTATCTGTGAGGCAACGCTTGGCTTTCTTGCAGCACTTGGAATCTCTACTTGTCTTTTTGCTACATTTCTTTCCTTATATTAAAAGTCAAAGTGCTGCCCCACTGCAGATTTAAAAGGGTCTTAGACCAATTAGTTTTCTGGCTTTGCCCTCCAGATATACTGACTGAGTATACACAACTCGGTTTAGCTGAGTTCACTTAAAGTGTGATGACTTCGAGTAAAATCCACTGCGTTTGCACAGTTCTTCTACAGCAGGGGTCTCCAACCTTTTTTAGGACGAGAGCTACTTTAAAAAAATAAAACAAGTCGTGAGCTACTTTTAATCCTCTTTTTTTGCAGTGTATATATTTACCACATTTTAACATTATTATCTGCTTACCTTTAACCTTTGTGTGCTGTTTGGGTCTGTGGGACCCGTTTTCAGTGTTTACTAAAAGAACATTTCATTATTTTAACCTGCTTTATTTGGGGGTGGACCTAACCTCCTCTGGGGGGACCTCACCTCCTCTAGGGGGGTCCGGGGGCATGCTCCACCGGGAAGATTTTTTTTTTAAATGTTGAAGTGAAACGCATCAATCTGGTGCACTTTGAGCACACAATGAATTGATGGATACAGCTCTCAACACTCAGATGAAAGGGAGCTGTATACTTTTCAATAATCCAAACATCTTTAGAATATGATCACAACCAATAACAAATCATTTCAACCTGTTTATTCTTATTTTATGTTACCTAGTTAGCATTCTGTTTTTATTTATGCATATTTTACTAATCACTCCCCTTTAAAACTGTTTTTTGTTTTTGTATAGTACACATTGGAATGATTTCTTACTTTATCTTTTACAACTATAGATAAAGGTGTGCTCTCTCTAGCTCTCTGTCTCGCTCGCTCACGGAGGCTGTGTGCTCCTCCGTGGCGATGACGGCTTGCACAAAAAATAAATAATAAACATATTTGTAAAGTGGAGGAAACAGGATTTCGAAAAGTGGGTGGGACATGTCCCCCCTGTCCCCATGCGTATTTGTATGGTATTTGTGCAATAAATATATGCACGTTGCAACACACACACAGTAAAACTCTGCCCGGCCTCATGTGTTGTATCGGCTGGCACGACTAGGCTGTTCAATGGGGCTGATGTGTAGATTCTGCCAGAAGGAAAGGTGACATGAAGAGGTGAGGTGTCGCTCCACATTGCTTTTCTTCCCGACTGCAACGCTGGTCCCGCAAATCAAGCAAGAACGTGATTGGTCGATATTCATTGTAGAGTTCGCTATGATTGAGGTTTTGTTTATGCATAGGGTAGATTCTTTTAATCAGTGTATTTTTTACATTTTGGATTCGAGGGCTTGCGAGCTACCGGTAGCTCGCGATCGACGCGTTGGAGACCTCTGTTCTACAGTGTCAAAAAGTGTTTTAGTCACAAACTTGATTTAATCCCTAGTATGTTAAATGTTCCGTACTGGAACCTGATGTCTGAGCAATAAAGAGCAAGCGAATAACGTATAATTAAGGAATTTTAGAAAAGTGATTGAGTTTTTAATCATAATGGCATCTTTCTTACAGATAATCTCCTGTAGAACATTCCTCAAAAAGCAATACTGTTGAAGCTTAAATGAACTTAAATATATGGTTTCTCCATTGTCCCTTAGACCTCATTGAAAGCTTTAATGATGGGACTACTTGCAGTGTTTTGCAGCCTGCAGGGGTTTTCTGCCCTTAGGGGTCAACATGTCAAGCTTAAGTGTTTGTAATGGTGTGAGCCAGGTGACTGGACACATTAGATATGCATTGAGGTCACTCCTGCCTTTAACCTCCCGTGCCTGGCCGAGTGAGGAGGGTTTTAGGGAGGGAAGTACAGGGAGGAGGTAAAGCCTGGTAGCTAATGCTTTTCTGCCCGCTCAAATCCCCTGCAATGTAATTGTGGTTCTGCACAAAGTCAGGGATGAGAGCGAGGCAAGCTGATCGCTGGAGCAAAATCAATAGTTCATACCTTTTCTGAGATTGAGTTTTTAGGCAAGGACGAGCACCATGACCGAGGGCAGAATATGAAATCGCTCCCACAGAGGCCCAACACGCGCTCTGCAATCGATCCCCGGTCCCTGTACCAATTATAGTTTTAAGGTTTGTCTGTGGCTTGCTGCAGTCCTCAAAGACCAACGCTTTGGAAGTAGACATTGTGTTCACTGACACTTCGACAAGGGTTGCAATTTTATGTATCCCCCTTGGAAATTGCCGACTGAAAGGCCTTCATACCTCTAGTGTTTAATTTGGAGCAGAGATTGATTTCTCCTTTCTTTTGGTCAGGGGGACTGAAGCTCAGGAAAAAAAGCATCGTGGTCATAACTGCCACCTCATGTATCATATGTGTACAGATACATTCATTCATTTGAATTCAGATTGACTTAAATACCAACATATCTATGATCTGCTTGGCCACATTAATTGTACAAACACTGCTGTGAAGTTCAGGCTGGTTTGTCTGCACATGATGAAGGTGGGAAAGTGTTTTACTAGGATTGTGAGGATCAAACGGTCCATGGATTGTTTACCGTTCCTCTGCCATCTACTAGATTTGGAATGGACATTTATGAGTAAGTCATTCGGTCTGTTATATGATGACTTTTGATTGCATCCCTTTACTTAAAAGACCTTGCTGTGATTACTGCCGACACAGATAGTCAATATTTGTGATAAGTGTATAGATTGTCTGGTGAAAGTTCAGTAACAACTATAACAAATAATCACGCTGCTTTTGACCTGTGCTGATGGTAGTTTATGTTTTTGGAAAGTGGAGTCTTTGATAGACACATCTACCAGAGTTTGGTTAATGTATGTTCTTTAAAATTGAAAGACGTGTCAGAAGAAAACAACTTGGGATCATTTATTGGCTGGTTTATTTGGTTGCCTTGCTGAGGAGTTGGAGGTGTGCAGCTTGGTGTTGCATCTCTTTATCTAACAATTGTTCCAATACTCTGTTGCAAAAATGAAACTGAAGAGAAGGACCATAGTCCTGTTTTTAATTGACATACATTGCCTGTCCTTTATCTTCTTCACAGTAAAGCCACCTCTTATCCTGCCAGTCTTTATGCTTTTAGCGTGAAGCAGCAGCAGAAGTTATGGCAGTAGCTAGTGGTGCACGATCATTATCGGCCCGATCATTATCGGTCCGATATTAGGAATTGTGACGTCATCCCGATAAACCCGATACCAGTATTAATAGCCCCGATAATATAATATATTTTTTGGGTAAAAAAGAAAAGAAAACATACTGCGGTGTGGGTGGATTGGGATGAGGGGGCTTGTTTTTCACTCGGCTCCTCCCGTTTTGCCAGTACTGTGGTATTAGTGGTTTAGGAAGAGGGGAGTTCTTCACAAATCCAGCGCTCCCTAACGCATGCCTGGCTGTGACGTAAATGGTGTGCGGCCGTGAAGCCAGGACAGTAAACAAACATGTCGCCGGTAGTATGGGACTATTTCAAAGTTTCAGAGTTAGATAGTTCGCTTGCTATTTGTATTAACAAATGCAGAAGTT